AATATTTATACAATTATTTAGTATGGTAAAAGAAATTTAAAAGAAACACGCATCCTTCAATAGTAAAATATGGGTCCCCTTTTTTTTACAGGTTGACCTCCTGTATAGTATAGTCTTTTTTTGTCCACAAGGAAAAAGGAACACGTGTCGACCCCAAGGTCCTCTCTATTCCCGCTTATTATATTATATATAGTAAATTAATTTTGATTTTTTTTAGTTCTAAAATGACGTGTAAAATATTTAATTAGTTGGCAGCCATTAAGTGGGTCACTAATACACGTGGGAGCGTTTGCATTTCACGCTCTTTGGCTCCGAAAATCGTGTGTTTATTTATTTAAAGGTAGGATAGTTAAAGTGTCTATTTGTGCATTATGAAAGTTGGAGGTCAAAGTTAAAATTTGAAGCCAAGTTTAGGGGCCAATATATGTATTATGCCTTCTCCTTATGTAGTCTTGACTGTGTAGGCATGTGTTCCGCATTAAACAAATCCTAACTATCGTTGCTGTTATATAATCAGTTTGCTATATCTTTCTACATTTTCCTGTGTATCAATTGCTATCTTTTCTATGTTTTGATACAATTGCTAAATTCTAACAAGTATTAAGATGATTTATGGATAAGTACTGTCTGATCCTTGCTTGATGAAAATTGTATGTAGCTGTATAGTAATGACCTGTTTTTCGGAGGAGTATTGTGCTTTAACTTTGAATTTAGTAGGCCTAATTTAGGAGACGAATTCTCTTTATTTTTGTTGTATTATATATTGAAACACTTTTAACTTACTTTTGTCATAGATTTAATATTCAGTGCTTAATTATTCGTGCTTCGAGATAAACCTCTCTAAAGGTTGCACCAAAAAGAACAAATATAACAAAGCACGTAATAATCCTTTTTGAAGTTCAAATTTGCATTTATTTTATTGGGCAGATCGAACCATGGATTTCATGAAGGTCTTCAATCAAACAGTCCACGAAATGTAAGCCTTTTCTTTTGCCAAGTTATTATCTTTTGCTTAAAGCTGTAAATTAGTAGTATCTTCTTTTAACTTTGTTTAATCAAGATTAGCTTTAAGTTAATTAATTGTTTTATCTTTTATGTGTTATTTTTACTTGAGAGCGAGAGGTGAATTTGAAAGTATAGAATGTCTCCGAGATCGAGCAGAAGGTAATCTAAAGTCGTTTTGCTCGATTATTGCTATATTTCAATTAGATTATTGTTGTTGTTTAACGGAAATCACTTAATGAATATGAATAGTATTAGGTGCTTCCAAATGTTGATGAGTATGCATAGAATATTTTTGGTTTATTTCTTGTATGGTGCCTCCAGTCTATTTTAATGCTAATAATGATTGATGATGAAAATTCTACACAGAATTTCAAAGTACATGGACTTTTGATGTTTCTTCTGACTGGGAAAGAGCGAGGATTCGGGGTTTATTTTATTTCTAATAGGTAGACTTCAGCTAAGCTCAGAAATTATAAACTCTTATATAAAAAGTGTTCATCCAAGTATATACTCAAAACCTCCCGTGCTCCTTTTGTTGGCATAAGTTTAGCAGAGGAATGAAATATAGGCATTGATTGTAAAGAATTATATGTATATGGTTTTTGCTCTTTCTTCGTATTTATTTTTGGTAGATTATGTATAATGTATATGGACATGGTAATTTGTTCAAACATTTTTATGGAAATTTAGATTAGATGCACACACTGTAACAACACAAAGTCTGACCACCGATCACATTGAATTGACATTTGGGGATAAAGACAGAAAAACTTTTATTCGGCTACATATTTAACAGTATAAACTAGAAGAGTTGTATATATAGAGAGAGAGAGAGAGTTAAAATTGATGTTAATTTCTCCTCCAAACTTTTTTTAGGAGCTTTAGTGGTGATATCTGTAAATGAACTAAAGCTATGTTTTTATTTTTGCTCCAAGTTATATGTGCTGAAATTGTAAGAGTTTTATATGAAACATTTGAATTTCCACCTATTTTGGAGATACTGATGATATCAAGAAGTTTGAGGAGGAAAAGGTATTGTCATTAGTTATTAGTTTTTGTTTGATTTTGATTTTTTGTGTTTTCAGTTACGGGAATCTTTGCTTATCTGCAAATTCAAAGGTTATCTCTTTTTCTATATTATGGGTGGGTGGGGTGGGGGGATTATATTGAACCGGTTATTTTTTGCTCAAACTTTTCACACATTTGTTACTCATTTTGACCTAATTCATGCTAGATATTGAATTCGCCTAAAAGCTCTAGCCCTATTTGGAGTATTATATTGCAATATTGAAAAAAGTTTTGGAACCGATAGGAGTGATCTGCCTAAATTTGTGGCTCAGCAGAGGAAACAAAAAGGAAAATGGAGTATAGTTGAGCTTTTGTAGACCTACATGCTACTGGATCGTGCATTTATAATTATTATTTTAAAAAATAAAAATATTTATATCTTGATTTAAATGAATAAATCATTTTATAAAAAGTATATACAAATGATGTGTTAGAAGATTTATTTAAATTCTTAATCAGTTACCTACACTATTTATAATAATTAACTGTAATTACATGTGTCTTTGTCTTCTTCTCTTCTTTTTTTTCAAAATACAATTTTGTAATATTTATGTTTAAAATAATATATTTTTTAATAATGACACATAGACGTTTTCACTTCTCCTATATAGTAGAACACAAATAACATTACACATTTGAAGAATAGATCCATTTATTTATTTATGTATATATTGAAAATCTAGATAATGAATAGAGTTATCATTTTGAAAGAAGAACTACTGACTTTTCTCTTTTGTAGTTTGATTATCATAAACAAATATTATTGCTAACAATAAAAGGGCATAAACTATAGTAATATTGTCAAACTATTTTTATAATTACAGAAAAGTTTCTGAAGTATAAATGCCACGATAAATACGTCATTAGAATTTCTCTAATGCTCAATTGACGATGCTCCCTAGTAGAATTTGAGATCAAGGAAAGGGAGCTACACGAGCACTGCAAGAGAGTGAGCTGCAAATCAAAAATCTATATAAGCTCTATTATAAATTCATACTCGCAGTCATGAGATGATATTCATTTTCTAAAATAGCTCATAGATTTCAGTGGTAGTTCAATTTGGTATTTGCTTAGCCCATATTACAAAGTGACGTCATGATAGTTCATTGCCAGATGAAAATCAGAATTGCTTCAATTTTTCATTTGTACTACAATAAAACACATGTACTTTAAGGCCTATGTGCAGAAGTGTAATAATATTTTTAAAAATAACATAAATGTACTGAAAATTTTCCAAATTACTAAAAGTTCAAGAAGCTTTTCAAAATAGATTACCTCCATGTCCGAAACGAGAGATTCTGAATGACTTGTTTTCACATTAGCTTTTCTAGTTCTTTCTTCCAACTCTTTCCTCTCCGACTTGTAGTCAAAACTATGAATCTGTATCATTGTGCTACAAGATACAAGGTATTTCTTTAGCTTAAGCCTTCTCTTAACAATAGTTATTATTCTTGCATCACAAATATATACTCAAGCACATAGTATATATTCAAAGTAAACATAAAAAGCTTGACGAAGGTAAAACACTCATTTTAACGTGCTCGGAGAGCCTGTTGATAATTTAGGGCCTGTAGATACTAGTACAACGTCTCCTATTCATAGATCTGCGCCCGCCTTTATACAGTTGGATACAAAATTATCTATTTTTGAAACAGGAATTAAAGTAGTAGATCTTTTAGCCCCCTATCGCCGTGGAGGAAAAATCGGACTATTCGGGGGAGCTGGAGTGGGTAAAACAGTACTCATTATGGAATTGATTAACAATATTGCTAAAGCTCACGGGGGCGTATCCGTATTTGGCGGAGTGGGTGAACGTACTCGGGAAGGAAATGATCTTTACATGGAAATGAAAGAATCTGGAGTGATTAATAAAGAAAATATTGCAGAATCAAAAGTGGCCCTAGTTTACGGTCAGATGAATGAACCGCCGGGAGCTCGTATGAGAGTTGGTTTGACTGCCCTAACTATGGCGGAATATTTCCGAGATGTTAATGAGCAAGACGTACTTCTATTTATTGACAATATCTTCCGTTTCGTCCAAGCAGGATCCGAAGTATCGGCCTTATTGGGTAGAATGCCTTCCGCTGTGGGTTATCAACCGACCCTAAGTACCGAAATGGGTTCTTTACAAGAAAGAATTACTTCTACCAAAGACGGGTCCATAACCTCTATTCAAGCAGTTTATGTACCCGCAGACGATTTGACCGACCCTGCTCCTGCTACGACATTTGCACATTTAGATGCTACTACCGTACTATCAAGAGGATTGGCTGCCAAAGGTATTTATCCAGCAGTAGATCCTTTAGATTCAACGTCAACCATGCTTCAACCTCGGATCGTTGGTGAGGAACATTACGAAACCGCCCAAAGAGTTAAGCAAACTTTACAACGTTACAAAGAACTTCAGGACATTATAGCTATCCTTGGATTGGACGAATTATCCGAAGAGGATCGTTTACTCGTAGCAAGAGCGCGAAAAATTGAGCGTTTCTTATCACAACCCTTTTTCGTAGCAGAAGTATTTACCGGTTCTCCAGGGAAATATGTTGGTCTAGCAGAAACAATTCGAGGATTTCAATTGATCCTTTCCGGAGAATTAGATGGTCTTCCTGAACAGGCCTTTTATTTGGTAGGTACTATCGATGAAGCTACCGCGAAGGCTATGAACTTAGAAATGGAGAGCAATTTGAAGAAATGACCTTAAATCTTAGTGTACTGACCCCTAATCGAATTGTTTGGGATTCAGAAGTGGAAGAAATTGTTTTATCTACTAATAGTGGTCAAATTGGCATATTACCAAATCACGCCCCTATTGCCACAGCTGTAGATATAGGGATTTTGAGAATACGCCTTAACGACCAATGGTTAACGATGGCTCTGATGGGTGGTTTTGCTAGAATAGGAAATAATGAGATCACTGTTTTAGTAAATGATGCGGAGAAGGGTAGTGACATTAATCCACAAGAAGCTCAGCAAACTCTTGAAATAGCGGAAGCTAATGTGAAAAAGGCTGAAGGAAGGAGACAAAAAATTGAGGCAAATCTAGCTCTTCTAAAATTTCTGCAAAGCTTACCAACTGACAACTAAGTTATTTCTATAGAAATTTCAATAAAATTTATAGATGAAGGAATCAGGTCCTAAAACACTAAAAAAGAAAATTGTCTTTTCGCTCACCTCTCTTTTTATGTCTTTGAAAGAAAATACTTAAAACAACTTTCGTAATAAGTTGCATATTTCACGATTTAATTCAGCTAATCTGTGATTACATGTGTTTGATATGATTGAAGTTATTTTGCGTCCACTTCCTATGAACACACTAAAGATCATAACTGTCAAATATTTTTGATACAGGACCTACTTTAAATATTGTGGCACATTCATTTGATGCTAGCAATTAAGATCAAGATTTGCATCAACGACAGAAACAACACCAAATACCACTACATATTAACAAAATCCTAAAGACAATGACATCAACTATGGTTTTACATAGTGAATAGATCAAATTCACCATAGAAACTCTTGGGACAAATAAAATAGACACCAAAACACAATTAAAAATTCATGAAATGAAAACCCACAAATTCCAAGTTTTCATATCACAATTCAACTCTAACTCAGTTGTACTTCATACATAAATGATCCCAATAAGAAGATTGTTATAAGCTAAATCAATAGATTGGGGAATTGATTCATACCTTATACCAGCAGCCTCATATTCTTCCATCTTTTGTAGCGCAGCCAGAATTTCAAAATATGAAACACCAAAATAGCGCAAAGTTCAATATCATTTCTATATATATAATATAACAAAAAAATAGTCTTTTTTTTATAAAAAAGAAAACATTTGGTTTGTAAGTTCACCAATTTTGATAATTTCAATTGCAAAAAGTTCCAAGTACATATGCAATGTCTAGAGTGCGATAAAGGCTTCTAAGGAATGAAGCAACCATCATAACATTTGAAATACTACAAGTTCAGATTACCACTAAGTAAATCAAAAGCTAAAATATAAGATGTTTCCAGGCTTGTCATGCCACTATTACAAAAACAACTTTTAACGGCTAGAAACACCTTATATTTTCTTGATAAATATGTATTTATGGCAGCGGCTATAAACACTACAACAAATATCGTGATTATTTATAAAGGTTGGCTAAGCAAACTCTTGATAAACAATCACGAAATTCGTTGTGATTTTTGGTTGTCTAACAATTTATTAGTCAACCGTGATAAATGTCAGAACACAGTTCTTTGAACAAGTGAAACATTTTCTTCTCTTTGTTAAGATAACAAGCTTCTGCAATGCCACTGCATTCTTTAGTAGAAACTTCAAAGGATCGAAAATCTTACAAACCTCTGCTTCAGACCACGTCTTCAAACGTGTCATTAGGCAGCCGACAATCTTAACATTCTTGAAATTGGAAAATAGTGTTTGGAATCCAACTCGGCAAATTGATATTATCCACTTTGGCGAAATATCTTAGCTCAAGCTGGCAAGGGGTTTGTAGAACTCGAATTTGATGTGTATGTTGAGTGATTCTAAAAGAGGCGAGGTTCGCAATTTTGATGTGTATGTTGAGTGACTCTAAAAGAGGCGAGGTTCGCAAAAGGCTGGCTACTCTCCATACATACTATACTTTGTTACATGCATTTATAGAGTTAGACATTTGCGTCTCAATTCTGAAAGCATCACCCCGTCAAGTTTTTGGATAACTTAGAATGGAGATGTTCAAGTTATGAACTATATCTATATGTATAGTTGACTGAGCAAAAAAAAAATCTTAATCTTTTGTAGGAAACTTTCATGACCTCCACACATCAACAAGTATAAGTGTATATTATTTAGTATTAAATAAGTTGCTTGTAAAGTTTTAAAATAAGATCCAAAATTATGTATTTAGAGTTCTTTACACACCCATGGGTATAAAAATTATTATATGCAACCATAAGAAACGTAAAAAAGAAAGAGGAGTTAGGATGAGAAAATTGTACCAATATCTTAATACATGAATCACCGATCGATGTTCAATTAAGGAAAAACTAATGTGACAGTATATTTATGCTATTATTAGGTTCTTAAAAGAACAGTAAGATTTATTATATTTGGAAAATATGAAAAGAATTGAAAGATTCGTTGAATTGATTGACCTTACCTTTTGCCTCTTAGGACTTTTTTCTTCAAATCTTCAACTCAATTCTTTGATAGTCTTGTGCTGAATTTTGAAGTTGAGAGTAGAAAATGAGTGCTAGAGAAATTGGGATTTGGGAGTGGTGAAGGCCAAAGGAGAAACAAGAATAATCCAGAAGCAGAAAGAACATAATCAAAAGACAAAACTATTCTCACTTTTGATTTAAATATCAAAATTAGAAATCTGTTCAACTTTTGTTGCACAATGTACAATAAAATTAAGATGTGGTCGTCCTTACCTTTCATACTTCTATATAGTAGAAATATAAGATAGTGAAAAAGCTAAAATAGTGGATCAATTATTATTAAAAGGAATTTCTGTTTTTTTTTAAAAAGTTTTTCTTAGGAATAAATAAAATTTAAATATAATCTTTTAGATTCTAATTCATATGTTTTTAAAATTTAAAATAATTTAAAAATATTTATAGAAAGATAGTTATAAGTATAAAAGCAATAATTTCATATTCACAAATATTACTAAAGAATAGGATTTATTTATTTCAAGATCCTTAAAGTTATGAAATTTAAAACACAAATTAATTCAATAAAAAAATAAATATATTAAACTTGATTGTCACTCCCATAAATTAAAACTGATAAATTTTATTTTATCTTTAAAGAAGAATCATCTTTTTGCAATTCAAATTAAAATAAATTTAATCCTTCAACTTTAGTTCGAACAAAGACATCTATATATTTTTTTTTGGAAGAACTAAATTTATTCAATGCAATTGAAATATTTTATAGTGTATATTTTATATATCTATCAAACAACATAAAATATATATAATTGATCAGCTATATTTAAGTACTGGAAATATGACCTATTAATTGTATTATAATTAGCTACATGTCATAACATTTATAGATAATAAAAGATCACTTGTAAATTAGTGATTATAAGGACATATCTTGAAAAATCATCTAATTTGATATTATAATTATTTTAAATTGATAAGACATTTCTAATTTTTTTTTCTTTTTACAATAGATTTAAATTTTTTGTTCGTACTGTAATATTTTCTCACACACAAGGATATTACTAAGAAAATATTAAAATATGGGCTAACATGCATAAACCATAACAATAAATGATAATACACATTTATAGATACTATTATATTAATTAATGATGATTCCATAACAATTAAGATTTTCAATTACACATATTTACCATTTAATATAATACAAACCTAGGGGCCGGAGATACCTGGTTCAACGAGTATTTAATTTGTTAGAATATTATGTATATATATACTAATACAAATAGGATAAAAATAATTTATATGGTCTGAATTACCTTAATGTAATAAAACCTTCCAGAATAATATTTGGCAGAATGTTTAGATTTAGGGAATATCTTACTTTCTCAACTTGTCCCACGCTTAACCAGACACTAATTAACGTCATTCTATTTTTGCACTAGAGACTATATCTGATCACGTACTTCTTGATATATATGTACAAAGACAGAATGGTTTGGAAGGTCCCGATATTTGTTATGATTTGTCATTCCAATTCTTGTACTTTATGAGGATTTCATTTCGATATATATATATATATATATATATATATATTTAACATGTTCATTTTAACCTCATGAATTAGGCAAAATGGCAAAAATATAAGGGTTGTTGTGCAATAAAAAGTACTCTTATATATGTAGTACATTTGTTATATACTAATGTGAGATTTTCTACGCGAATTCAAATTTAATTAGACCCCGATATAATAACGTCGGGTGAAAAAAACACATTAATATTTTCAATATTTTGCATGATTAATTGTCTTGCTCTATGTATGAAGTTTGGATTGAAAGCACAATCCCACGAACCTAATAGTTGGATCCATGAGGAGACAGAAGAAAGTCATTCATTTCGATCATTGAGCCCGGATTGAGGATTGATTGATCTAAACCAAAGACTTGATTATATGTAGGAGAAAGACGTTTTCATACCCTGATACTGCTTTGTGGAAACCTAGAATATAAGAAAGTCTCTTTAGGATGACTATGATCTATCTAGACCGAGTCACAACTACTTATTATAGAAGACTCAGGCACACTTCCCTATACTTCTCCTAAGTGACATCAAAATACTCTTTTAGCCGATTCGCAAACAGCAATAGATGAGATTGAATTAGACATAAGGTTTACCCCTCACCCTGGGGAATTGGGGAGTTGAGACTTCCTTGCTTTTAATTAGGCCCGTTGTAAGGCCAATAAGATCATGAAGAAGGGGATTGGATTCTTCATTTTATCCGGACGAACTCTAATAGTGATTTTGACTCTATTATGATATCTTCCTCTGTCGCAATAGAAATCGAGAATGGAGGTGACTTCGCTACACTTGTTTATAGTTGGAAATTCCAACTCGAAGACCCTAGTACTACTGACTTTGCACTAGATTAAATTGAAGCATGAGTCGAGATTTAAAATATCTGGACTTTTATCGCCTTAAGGCAATCTATCCAAATAGCCTACCCTATAATAGATTCAGCTAAAGTTGCCCTTGAAAGATTTCTTTCTCAAT